TAATTAAACCTATATTTGTAGGTGGAAGTACTTTCTTATATGTTGCAAAAGAAGGATCACCTTCTGTCATTTATGCCACACCTATTTCTACTGGTGGAAAGACTTTAAGTGGCATTCCAAGCCAATATCAAGACTTTTAAGATGTATTTGAGAAAAAAAATGCAGACACTCTTCCAGAACATCGTTCCTATGACTGCTCAATTGACCTTCAAGAAGGAGCACAACCACTATTTGGACCAATCTACAATTTATTTTAAAATGAGTTGGCTGAACTTAAGGAGTATATTGAAGTGAATTTGGCCAAGAATTTTATATGTCATTCCAAATCTCCAACAAGAGCTCCAATTTTATTTGTAAAGAAAAAAGATTGATCATTGCAGATGTGTATTGATTATCGAAGACTCAACAAATCACTATCAAAAACAGGTATCTGCTACCTTTGATATCTGGACTTCTTGATCACTTGAATTAAGCTAAGATCTATACAAAAATAGATCTACGGGGAGCATACAATTTGGTACGCATCAAAGAAGGAGATGAATGAAAGACTGCGTTTCGAACACGGTATAGACATTTCGAATACAATGTCATGCCTTTTGGACTTACAAATGCATCAACAGCATTCTAATATCTAATGAATGATGTCTTTCGCGAGTTTTTAGATAATTTTGTTGTCTGTTACTTAGATGACATCTTAATCTATTCTAAGAACTCAAAAGAATATGAACTTCATATTCGCCAAGTATTACAAAAACTAAGAGATGCGGGACTTTATGCTAAGATAGAAAAGTGTATATTTCACACTACTCAACTGGACTTCTTAGGATATATCATTTCAAATGACTGACTTATGACATACATCATCGACCTTACGGACTTCTTTAGCCATTATCCATTCCAGAACAACCATGGTCTTCTATTTTTATGGATTTCATTACGGATCTTCCAATCTCAGGTTCTTATGACTCTATATTCGTGATAGTAGATCGTTTTATCAAGATGGCACATTTTGTACCACATACAAAATCTATCACACGTGAAGAAACAGCTAAGTTCTTTCTTGACAATATTTATCGCTATCATGGATTATCCAAGGATATTATATCAGATAGGGGAACTCAATTTGTATCAAGATTTTGGTGAACTCTTTTCAAGATTCTAAAACTGGATATAAAACTATCTTCGACATTCCATCCTCAAACTGATGGACAAACGAAGCATATTAATCAAGTTTTGGAGAAGTATTTAAGATGTACCATTAATTACCAACAAGATGATTGGACAACTCTTTTGTCATTGGCAAAGTTTGCTTACAATAACACCATACATTCTTCCACAAAACAAATACCTTTCTTTATTAATTATAGTTATCATCTACGACTTGATGCTTTTGACTTTTTAAAAGTTGATAATCTTGCTCCGAAAGATTTGGCAATTCATTTGTCAGAGCTACATGCAACGATGAAGGCACAGTTAAAAGAAGCTCAAGAACAACAAAAGGTCAATGTGGATGTCTATTGAAAAGAACAACTACTATTCTATATGGGTGATAAGGTATGGTTACTTTGTCGCAAAATCAAGACCACTCGTCTTTGTGACAAGTTGGACTATCAAAGGCTTAGACCATTTTCTATTTCTGCACAAATCAACCCAGTTGCATATCGTTTACATATACCGGAGTCGATAAAAATCCATCGAGTATTCCACGTGTCTTTTTTTGAACCATATCAGATAATGGACATTGCAAGAAGAAGACAAGCTCCACCTCCTCCTATAGAAGTGGACAATAATGAAGAGTTTGAAGTAGAAGAAGTCTTACATTCAAGGCGGCGTCGAAAAAAATTGGAATATCTTGTCCCTTGGCATGGATATGATATTAGTGAACGCACATGGGAGCCAGTAAAGAATCTTGCAAATGTAGCAAAGGTAGTGGAGGCTTTTCATCAACGATATCCATCAAAATCAAGATAAAAATCTTCTTTATAAAAGAAACAAGATCTAGGCAAGATATCATTCTACTTTCAATCCTTGTTTATAACTTCTTTGTACTTGTGACGCTAAGGAGATGGAGAACCAACAACCAGTGGATTCGACTCAAGAGCCTTTGTTTGATAATTTTCTAGACGAGACATTATGATTGTCTCAATCTTCAAGACTACACAATCGAGATGAAGATCTTCAAGAACGACATGTTCTTCCTCAAATAGTTGGCGAAATACAACGCGTTTGGTATCATAACCTTAGAAAGGACTCCCGATGTTTGGTGATTTAACTAGAAGTAGGAACAATTCCTGATGGTGTTCCAAATGTTTTATTCAAAGGAAGTTATGAAGGCCTCAACAATGATCAAATGACTGGATGGTCTTTTTGTCCTAGTATGAGACACTACTGATGGTTGAGAGGCCCTATCAATCATCTTCGAAGAGAACAAAGATCAGAGTATGTAGCGATTAGAATTCGTCCTATCATAGATTTCTTCAACATACAATTATCACTCCTCATAGAACTCGTTCCTAAAAGGGGACGTAATGTCATGGACATACACATGTAAGCCAATAATTATATGTATAAATAAGTAGAAGTAAATAAAAGTAGGTATAAGTAAGTTAATTCTATAGTATTTGATATGAAAGCTTCGTAGAAGCTTCATAGACTCTACTTTGACTTTATAGGTATCTTTAATTGACTTTTTGGGATTAGAAACGTGGTCAACAAGTTGGCCATGTGCCACACATATTATTAGCTTGAAGACCAAACTAACTTTGTGGCCCACACATAGAAAAACTTGCCTTGTAAGTCAAGGCATGTGTCCTACAAAGTCAAGACATATTAGAGGTCCTATAGAACGTCGTCATGTAGCCCCTATTAAGATAGTACATATAGAGACAAGAGTGAAGCCTTCTTCACTCTTGTCAACTCCTTTCTTGCTTCCAGTCTAGTTTCAAGGGTCTCTAGTTTTTTTGGCTTTTGGCAATAGCCATTCTAGTTTCTTTCTTAATACATATATGAAGTTATTTCTATTTTGTCATCTTTATATGACAGAAGTCTCACTTGTTTATTTGTCTTTATTATGTTCTTGTGCTCGATACTAAGTTAGAATAAAAAAAATTAATATAATTAAATAATAAATAAATAAAAAGATAGATATTAATGGTTGATGATAATAGTAACGTGATTCCTAGCAAGAAAATGCTTTCATTTAACAAAGATAATATAAATATACAAAGTCATAGATTACAAGACTATTGATTAAAAATTAAAATCTACATAATTAGACCAAAAATTATAAAATAATGAAATTTGATTAAGCCACTAAATCATTATAAAGAATAATATCTTTTAATAAGTTACTAAATGGAATGATTGCATTTAGTCATTTAATACAAATAAATTTAAGTTAAATTTTTTTTTAAACAACATAGATATACAAAGTGCATAAAAATTTAGAGCTTATATTAAAATAAGAAAGATAAAGATGATATTAGATAAATTGCATAAAAATTTAGAGCCTATATTAAAATAAGAAAGATAAAGATGATATTAGACAAATTGCATAAGACAACAAAGAAGTAACAACAGATAGAAGTAGAATAAATAATATTATTTATAACTAATTCAAGGAAATGGAACCTAATTACAACTTAGATCTTTATACCACTATCAATTGATTTAATAATATCACCAAATACATAATTAAAATGCTTACAACAAAGACTTTGCACTACTTCTAATTACTTTAAAAAATTAGAAGAGCAATATCATGAGTATGAACTTGTTATCTACTAGCATTATTGTTAATATAAGATGACAGAGATTGCATGATTGCACATACTAGCCCTAAGAGAACAAAATGTAAATTACCAAACTTTCCATCTTGTATACCTACATTTCACTTCATAACCAAAAATCACGTTACAAACTCGAGCACTGTACTTATGTGCTACAACTTTCATACATGCAGCACAACTTCACAACCAACGCAGTAGAATACGAACAAAGTTGCAATTCTAGACAAAATCTTGACTTTTATACATGCAGTGCAACTCCCCATCCAAACAGTAAATTACAATCACAGCCACGAGGTTTTCGAGTTTTGATGTCTGTACTTGTTCTTTCAATCGGGGAACATATCTCGTGACCCACTTTGCATAGTCTCCGTGATGAGCTTGAGACGTAGCGACTCAACTCGCATCCAACGCATGGCAGTTTCCAGTATGCAAATCCAATTCATCAACATGTGGACAAGTCACCACCACAGATAATCACACAACACAAGATTCTGAGATGGTCATCACCGAGGACCATTGGCTGGTGGGTACCATGAGGATGACAAATGGTCGAAAAAATTGTCGTCAAGCAAGTGCGGAAGAATCGCATATCCATCTCCACAACATCGAGGTGTGCCGCTACTCTGGGTTACTTTGCGAATCTGATAATAGGTTGGTCTGATGATAATAGACAGATTGGTCCCTCCGATAACAATTCGACAACCCCTGAAGAATTTGGTCATGAGTTTATACAGCCGCATTGCCAACCATTAGATGCCCGTCGCAATCAGGGATATTATTAGAAAACTATTGCGAATCAGAGTCCGTGTTACGTAGCCTGTCTGGGGAACGTCAGGTCAATTGATCTGATTCAAATCCGCATTGATCAGCCTATACAGAGGGACAAAAATGGATATGGATTCAACGAACAAAATAATTGAATACCGAAATTGGTTACGTCGCTTTCATCATGGCAAATAACCCAGCTTCGAAGAGATCAAACGAGAACACAAGCCTCGGGTATGATCGCTGCAGCGGGTAAAGTTTAAGTGTCATGATACTCCTTGCTAACGATCCCCGTAATCAATACCATGCAACAAGTTGCAACGGCCATGCGCAATCTGCACAATCTACTCCCTAAAGAGTTGCAACAAGCCATACTTCATACCAAAGCGCCTGGATCAAAAAAGAAAAAAGGACAGCCATGAAATCCCTGTGGATGAAGATGGGGAATTAGACAAATGGAGTTTCAAGAAACAATTTCATTTATGCGACAACAGAAGTGGCAACAAGAATTAATCTCTACTCGGATTCCTCAACTGCAGCCTCCACGCGCAACAGCACGAAACCTATCGCAATTCCGACTAGAGTGAGGCCGCTCATGATGGGCACAATGCGGAAAATTTCAGAAGCTACGTCGCAGTTGGCAGACAAAGCTCCACCCCGGGAAGCGCGACCACTCCACCTGGCCCTGATGTTGGCGAACGCCTCCTCCGTGCTCACGGGCATGCCCATGCGGGTCACCTGGCTCTCGGGTTGCAGCCCGCTGAAGTTCTTCAATTTCCTCACACCCAACTTAGACGACGACCTCTTGGAGGTCGAGGTCGACACAGCGAGCGACGGCGCCACAACAGCGGCCATGGAGGAGGAGCTCATGGTAGCTGCCATTGCTTGGGGTGAATGAGAGTAATGCACGCTGCAAGCAAGGCAGCAGGGCAGCAATGGCGAGCAAGGGGGGTGAGTGCAATAGCGAAAGATGGTAGCGGGAGGTGGTGGTGGATTGAAGGGGGATCCAGGTGGGGTGGGGCAATTGAAGAGAGGTGCAAGGGGAAAGGCAGTGAGGATTGGTGGAGGGCGGTGATTGAGTGGAGAGAATGCCAAGAAATAGGATAAGAGGAACGGGGCTGAATGCCGCGCTGTGCGTGCCACAAGCTTCGCTTCGCCCTCGCCTCTCCTCACAGCCTTTCCCCTCTTTCGCCCTCCTCCTTCCCCTTTCCAGCTCCCTGCCCGCTCTGCCCTATCCTGCCCTGCCCAGGCCTCCTCGCTGGCTCGCTGGCTGTGTGCGTGCCCATCCTCGCTTGCGCCATTGGCTTCGCGGATGCGCTCCTAGTCTCCTCCCCTTTCTCTGCATTTCTCCTTTTTCGATTTTCATTTTACTGGGTTGCTTTTACGACTAGGCGTTACTTTTCTGTTTCGTCTTGAGGTTTGTTGCTGAATTTTGCCCTTTCCTTTTTACTTTTTTGCAGCTTTTGATGATGGTGTGTTAAGTAAAAGACTTTTCAATACATTTTCATACTTTGTAAATATGCATATTATTACATGGTTTTTTGTACTTTTAATCTCTTAAAATTTGCTTGTCAATTTTCTTTCTATGGAGAAAATGTCTTTCATATTATTTCAAAAGAATAATTTTAATTAATATATATATATATATATATATATATAAGTGTGTGTGTGTGTTCACACAATAAACACATGTAATTTTATGTTTAAATTCGAAACATAAATTTGATTGAAAAATGACACGGTGTAGAAAGAGGGTAAAAATGCACTCAAGAAAGAGAGTACATTTATTGGTTCAATGTAAAACTAATTATAAAAGTAAATTAAAACACACGTGCATTGTTTTAATGAAACTGATTGTACTAAACAAATGACACACGTTAACTAAACTTTAGTAGTTATAGACTCTACAATTAATTATGTTAGAACTGTATAATTTACTTTTAGAAGCGGGGTATTTTATTAATGTAAATGTATAAAATAATTATCAAATTTATAAATTAATGATACTGTACTCTTCAAGAAACATGATAATTTGGTTTCAGTTTTTTATTATTTTAAGAATGAGATTATTTGGTTCTTTTATGATTAGTATCATATAAAATAACATCAAATTACTAATGGTCGTGATATAAAATCACGTTATTTAAAAAAAAGTAATAATAATTTTAAAATAAAATTTATACAAAACACAACTTAAATGTAAATCAAAATTTCCAAAAATATAACTACAAGCTGGATTATGATCATGTAATCAAATATTGTAACATTGTTCAAGTTAGGAAAAAAATCATATGGTTATTTGTATATAAAGAACAAAAAATTTTATGAAAATTTCATGATCATCTGTTACATAATTTATTTTTTAATTTATTTAAAATTTAAAATTATTAATTGTACATTTTATTATAAAAATAAGTTCTCATATCATGTTATATTTCTCCTTAAGTAGATGGGGACACATGTTTAAATCTTTTACTTCCTTAACAATTACAAATCCCATATTTTTTGCAAGTAAAATATAATAAAAAAAAGAAAAAAAAGAAAAGAAAAAAAAGAAAAGAAAAAGACGAATTTCATCATCATAGTCACACATCTCAAAAATAGACATAAATAGTCCCATTCGTGAATACAAAATATGGCATTGACATAGTAAACACATCACATGACCGACATTTCTGTTCATCAAAACAAAGGGACATGTGGATGAATAAAAGTCTCATGAACGAATGAAAACGATGGACAGCATTCGTTGATGGACAGATACATGCTCAGGAAGAGAAGTGAGTAGTGGCTGTCCGATGGAGGAAGCAGGGATCGAGGCCGTCCACGCCCCTTAGGGCAGATACATGAAGATCGAGGCCCCTAATGCCGGGATCTCCTTTCGCACTCGTGAGGTTTGGTCGCGTCGTCGCTGTTTGCTCGTCGCAGCGGAACATCAACCTCCGAGTAGCGTCGTAACAACAATCCGATCAAAATGAAGGTGGTCGCAGCGTACTTGCTTGCCCTTCTGGGCGGCAACTCTTCCCCGTCCGCCAAGGACATTGAGGCCATTCTTGGCGCAGGTGCTATGAAAACCCTAATAAACTGCCTCGTTTCTCCGACAAGTCGTGTAGCGTTTAGGGTTACGGGTTTCTGTGTGCATACGTATCTTTTGTATGGAACGTGATTGAAGCTGGTAGAGGTTCATGTGGCTCATGATTTTTCGTAGGGTTTGGAGAGGTTTTTGAAGCCTTTTGGTGGGTGCGTGTGTGGCGTAGCAGCTGTCTTCTACTGCGTGGTATTTGTTAATGTCATTGTTTCTGAAGCGGCATTGGAATGTGTGCAGTTGGGGCGGAGGCTGACCCCAGCAGGGTCAGTCTTCTGCTTAAGGAATTAGAAGGGAAAGATATCCTTGAAGTGATCGCTGCAGGGAAGGAGAAGTTCGCGTCCGTGCCTTCTGGTGGAGGTGGTGGTGTTGTCGTGGCCTCGGGAGGGGCTGCCGCTGCACCAGCTGCTGCTGCTGCTGAGGCAAAGGAGGAACCCAAGAAGGAGGAAGAAAAGGAAGAATCCGATGATGTAAGTTTTTTACTATCTGATTTTCCATCTTTGTGATGGTATCAGTACATCGTGGTGTAATTGTAGATCATTTAGAATCTGTCCATGTTGACTTTGTTGCGATCCGTAGTCATATGTTTCTAGTTGAATTTCTGGAGCTTTTTGTTTCAGTTAACCTAAATGATTTGGAGAATTGTGTCGTGCTACTAACTTTGCTGATTATTTTTTTCAGGACATGGGCTTCAGCTTGTTTGACTAGGTGCACTTGGTGTGAAGCGTTGCTAGCATCTTCGCTCTTAACCCTTGATTGCGTTATTGAGGGCACCCTTGTTGTAGTCCTTCCCTACGACTACAGTGTTGGAAACTATACAGTAAAGATTCTTTATCATTCGTGACAGTGACCAAACATTTTTGAATCCTCTTCAGTCAAACGATTTTGCAGTTCTTTTTTCCTCTCGCATGTGCTGAAGTCATCAATGATTGATCCACATATTTTTACGAGTGCGTGATGTATTTTAGGAAACTACTTATCAAATAGAGCTACTGCAATAACAGTACTGAATTTCAATGGCCTTCTCTGCTTGCCATTTTCCTATCGACATTGACTGGAGTAGGTTTCAGGCTTTCCTACAACCATGAGTCTTGCACGTGAGAAATCACATGTCTGCTCTTTCTCCAAGGTTTACATCTATTTTGCAATTAGTGTTATTCGAACTGCAGACTCGTTTGGAATTTAGTACACTCCGAACACATGAGGTATCTCTATAATTTCCGAGAAAACAAGTACAAGTTTCACCTGCACTTTTTGAAGTTTGCATGTGTGTACCATTCACTGTATATGCCGACTTGAAGATCGTAGACCTTGCCCCTGCATAAAATTTGCAGAAAAACTGTGGTTCTAAGGTGATGTTTGATAGTGGTTCTGAGAATAACAATCCGTGCGATTACCTTCTGTACCCAGGCTGGGTACACAGTTAACTATATATGTTCATATGATAAAAAGCACGCTGATTCTTTTTTAATTAAACAGCTGTCATACTTTTTTTCGTTAATTTTCTTTTTTCTCGTTACTCATAAGATGTGCGTTGAAAAAAAATCGACGTAGTTCTGTAATGGTGTGCAATACATGACAATGAGAACCATTATCTGATGCCTGTTAATGTTTAAAATTTGGATGATTCAAAGTGATACGTGAGGGATAATTAAATATATGTTAACTGCACAGGGACAAGTGGCCAAAAATTTAAACAGCAAATGAGAAACAAAATACTCGATTGGAGACAGTATGGAATACAATAATAGAAATATGATAGTACTTGGATTTTTTCAAAATATATGTTGAAATGGCTAACGCACTAATCTACGACAGAATATAATCAACCCTCGCGTACGTGTAACACACGTCCAGGGTAGATTTTGGGAGCGGGGTACCTGGCGCCGCGGGTCGCACCAGGGGACGGGGAGACGGGCTCCCATAGTGTTTTATATTTTGTAATTTTTTGATTTATTTTTTGGTTTTGGTTTTGTTGGGTGGGCTTGGGACCGGGTCTGCGATGCGTAATCTCTTCTTCGGTGAGGGAATTGCTGATGCAGGTGGACGCCTTGCTGCGCTTGTGTTGTTGTACTGCTGGATCGCTGTTTCAGCTTTCGAGGAACCCATCTTTCTTCGAAATTCGTGCTTCTTTGGGTAACTTGTGTAAGTGTGTCCAAGTTTGGCTTCAGATTTGCCTGTTTTTAGCGCGGAGAGTGAGTGAGTGAGAGAGAGTGAGAGGGGGGAGGGGGGGTTTTGTAGTCCGCATGCTGGACCTCGGAGGACAATTGCTGTTGGGTGGGTAGCTCGTGGGTTTCTAGTTCCGGTTTGAGGGTCGTCGCGGAGCTCGGTGGTGGATTTGATTTGGAGGAAACCATAAGTTTGGGGTAATGGGGTAATGTGTGGAAGCGTACCCATTTTTTGAGATTTTTACTTCGATCTTTTTGGGCGTGGTGGGCTTGCGAGTTAAGCTTCACAGTTGATTCGTCTGGAGAACAGTAGGTCTAATGTTATATTTTTTTGGGTGAGAAACGCGAGTTTTCGGGGATTTTAGTGCGTGATAGTGTGAAATTCTCGGTGGGGATTTATGGTAGGGTTCTGAGATGGCGTTTCTGTTATTCTACACTTGGGAGTGGAAGCTATCCTCCTGAATTGTTTTTTCTTGTGGATCTCTGGGTTTCGTCCTGATGCGGTTGATTTTTCAGAGGGTTGCTTGAATTGCGCACCCTCTTGGTGCTGCTGGTGCAGAGTTAGGTTGTGAGAACTGAGTGGCTTGATTTCTGAAAGGGGTATGTTTTCGAGGAGTAAACTTTGGTTGAGTGTGCAGATGAAGGAGGAGGGAAAGAAGTATGCCTGAAGGGATGAGTGGTTCAGGCGATTACGTGCATTTTAAGGCCCATGTGCCCCTCCACCATATCCCGGTACTGTTCGAAACACTCAGTCTTGATTGATCACCATTCAAGGGCAACGAAGTACCCACCTCGAATTATATTTATGTGATCGTGTGTAGCACCCTGGTATGAATTTGGATGTATTCTTGCAGGTTGGATCAAATGGCTTTAAGCAGTGGCGCTACTACGACTATGGCCCCAAGTCTGTGGCACCGTTAGTGTGCTTATCTGGTGTAGCGGGGACGGCAGATGTCTTCTACAAGCAGATTTTGAATCTATGCCTTAAGGTAGTTGCTCATAAAGTCATTGTTATGTTTGTTGGCAAGATCATTCGGCCCCTTGTTATATTTATTAATGGCTCACTCAGAATGAAAGGGAGTTACTGATCTGATGCTTACTGTCCATTGTAAGGGTTTTAGCGGTCTCTCAGTACATTTAGGGGTTTCAAAACATTGTTAACAATTTTGAACAGGACAAAGTCTTTCAATCAAGTTACCGGCTATGACTAATTTGTATCGATGGATTTCAACTCATGACAACCAGTGCATGTCAGTTACTAGAGGCTGTGTGTTTATTTATTTATTTATTTATTTTTTTTACAGGGTTACAGGGTGATTGCGGCGGATGCTCCTCCAGTTTGGACTCACCAGGAATGGGTCTCATCTTTCGAGAAGTTCTTGGATGCTCTTGGGGTTCACCATGTAAGGACCTTGTTATCCTAGTTGGGTCATGTGTCCAGCAGCCAAATGATAGTTCACGATGTGAATACGCTTAGTCATTGAAGCTGCAGGCACTAGAAACAGAACCAATTATGGAGTGAACCAATTATTCACAGGATTCTGCAAATGTCTTTAAGTAGCTATGTGCATTTAACCTTTTGAATTTTATTTTTCATGCAAGTAACTCTAGCTGAATTCGTTCTTTCCATCAAAGCTTCCGAAATGGCCTCGTTTCAGAAAGTTTAGATTGGGTTTATTGCTGTACTTGACAGGTGCATCTGTATGGTACATCCCTTGGCGGATTCTTGGCCCAAATGTTTGCTCAATATCGGCCGCGTCGCGTTAAATCCTTGCTTCTCTCGAATAGTTTTGTGGATAACCATGCCTTTCAGGCTTCTATGTCTTGGTCAGCGCTGTGAGTTTTCTGTCCTTTTGCCCTGCCCCCTGTCTTTCTGCACTTATCATAAGTGTTTAAAAGTGGTTGTGAAATTTTAAAGATCTCTCCTGCTATGGAATCAAATCCTGTAGTCTATCGAAGATCGAGTTATCTGTGGTCTTGTGAGTTGCAGTGATTCCTTTTCCACCGTGTAGGATTTCAGAAATTCACACGTTGATTTCCGATTTGCATGCTCTTGTGTTAGTCTCTGACGCTAGACTGGTTAATTGTGTCTGTTCCGATTATCGTGTAGCATAAGCTGGACTCCTGAGTTTATCTTGAAACGCTACATCCTCACGGGAATTCGTGACGATCCTCAGGAGCCTCAAATTGCTGATTCAATTGATTTCGTCGTGGGCCAGGTATGTTCAACTCGATTGGTTACAGAAACTTTTTTCTTTCTTTTGGTTTTCCACTTCTGTATTTGGAGTACATTTAATCTAAGGTCTCTTGAGGGTCACATGTTCCTTCTCATTTAAGCCTTGGCGTCGGCTATGAAGCCTCAGATTTGTTTACAAGGTTGCTCTCACACTATGATGTATCAGTTCCTTGCGCTGCTAGAGGCGAATGTTGTTTGGATAAGTGAGTTAAGTGTCTGTATTGGGAGATCGGTGGCTAATTTCGAATTGATTGTGAACTATTTCAATTCTTACAGCTGGAAACTCTGTCAAGGGAGGAATTGGCATCACGCTTGACTCTCAACACCCAGCCAGCAACGGTTGGTCAGCTCGGTCTTGCTGATTCTTCAATTACCATAATGGATGTAAGAACTGTTACAATGACTCTCAATTGATATCTGCACTCAAGATGGGCCTCAAATGTTACATCGTGTAATGTCCAGCTTTTCCTGTCAGATGGACTTGTTTCTAATTTTGTACTAATTGTTTTTTAATCATATCGTTGTGTAGACCAACGCTTTGGTCGTGTGCTCATTTAATGAGTAATATCTTGTGTCGTTGTGCTGAAAAATTATGTTTTTCTTTAATTTGTTTATTCGTCGGGATCAATGCAGACGAATGATTATTGTGCGATCCCTACTTTTCTGAAAGACCAAGTCGGTGCGCGCTATCCTGGGGCTCGTCGTGCACTTCTGAAGTCAGGAGGAGATTTTCCCTTTCTTTCTCGTGCAGATGAAGTTAACCTCCATGCCCAGGTACTATTCACAGCTCTTTTGGTGCAAGAACACCGTCTGAGGCATTTGTTAAAAGAACATGAGGTGTTTTTGTACTTTTTATTCTAATTTTTTTTCATAAATTTCAGAAGCTCCATATATTGTCCACAGATTGATTCGAAAGCTTTGCAGAAATCCTTTTAGTATCCTATGGTGCATGACCTGTTTTTGGCTCTCCAAATTTTCGCAGTTGCACTTGCGACGTGCAGGAGTTGAAGGTGCTGTTCAAATCGTCCCTCAGCCCGTAGTAAAAGCTCCTCCACCTAAACAAAGAAACCCATCTTTTGAAGAAGAGAGGAAAGGAGAAGATAAACCCCCTACAACATCTAGTGAGGATCTGAAGAAGAAGGGAATTAGTGGCAATACCTTGAGGCGTTTGAGCACAGACAGTCTATTTCCATCCAGCTTGTCTGGAGTAAAGGAAACCAAGAATGAGGACAGAAGCATAATCATCAGTGAAGAGCCCTCACCTTTAGACAACCTCGATGTGAAGAAAAAGGGACTAAATGCGGGATCTTCCATGAAAAGACTAAATTCAGGAAACCTCTTCATGAGCAATAATGGTTCGTTTCATCGAAACGTGGATCCTCTGGGGCCCTTGGGAAATGATCTACTTGTGTCACCACGAGTCTTCATGCGACCTAATGGTATGCTTTCTACTTCAACGTTGTGGAACATTTATTGTTTTGCTAGTCACCGTCTGCTGCCCAGTCGGCATCATTTTTGACATCAGTATGCTGATGATACTTAAAATTCCAGAACATGCAGTCAGCTGCTGTTAAGAGTTTTCTCTTTTTTAAATCATTCAAAGTATCGTTACACGGCGTTTCCATCTTTTTGTTCAGAATTTGTGTTACTGAAGTCGTGCTCTTTACATTCTTCAGGATCCGCAAGCTCAAGTGCGGTGGAACCATGAGTTCGCGTGCGATAATATTGAATCGAAATCTTTTGAATCATCGGTTACTGGGGATGTGTTGTAGACTTCTGCTGACGAATGTAGTAACCTGCACAGGTAAGGTTTGTCAAATATGAGCTCTATTATAGAGCAGATGTAATATATGCCTCAAGATTCGCTGCAGTTGTTAAGGAATAGTAAGTGGTCTATCCAATTATGTATTATTTTGCTATATAGAGTAGAGGCGATTCTTAACGGAAATTTTATTGGATCAGGTGCATGGTAGTTTGGCAAATGTTGTGCTCAATTATTTTCACCTGCCTACATGGCAGGAGTGACTTCTGCCTCATGTTCTGAGTCAGACCTTGCCGCCAAACGCTAGGAGTGAAGGCTAGTTTTAGTAGTGGTTACGTTAAGACATGTATATGTGGATGTGATTGGGCACACAGGTTTCTGCAAATGTTTCAAGATAACTTTCGTCTTGTATCAGTTTTTCTCTATCTGAATACTTTGATAGAGGTTTGATGCAGGTTTACATGCTATGAATGGAAATTCCATTTGGCTTTTTTGCATTACATCACGGATACCTCTCTTTCTTTTGATTAGCTTCGCAATCACCAACTGATATCGAGTTCCCACGTTTAGTTGAGATTCTGCTCTTCAAATTCCCCTAAACCACATCAATGACTAGAGAACTCCTATGCTCCAAGTCCTTACATCAATTTGAGGTTCGAAGTTTCCTATGGCCTTCTGGTCTTCTCTTCACAATGTAGATCCATTTGTTTTCTAGATTCGCTCACAGCTTCTCGATTCTTTCACTCACTCTTTGTTTACTTTTGGTTCTTTTTTGACTTCGATTATACACCTTCCAAGTGTCAGGAGAATTGTGTTCATTAGAGTATATGCAGTTGTACAGGCTGTTAGCAAGTGCTGTAACGAAGCATATTGATTTAACTGGAAAGTGCCAAGGGTTTGGTGACAACGTTTAATAAACCAGAATAGATAATGTTGGTGAGATAGATTTGAGCTGATGGTGCAGGATCTATTTCAAATGCACTGACTGAGCACTCGGGCACAGATCATTCGCCAGATTTTCATAATTGTTGTCTTCATGTTTAAAGCCCTACATCGCATCTGGAACAAATTGAAGCTCCAGATTTTATGAGCCTAGTTTGATACTTCGACTGATGTTTCTACTGCTCCCGATAACAAAACAAATGTGAGCGACATGAGCTTTTTGCCCCATAAACCAATTAAACCGCAGAAAGAAGTAAGCAGAGCGGAAATCATTTGAAATCCTTCCTCGTAGTATGTAAAGAACAGGTTGGAACAGAATGATGATTTGTTCCATGAATGTAAGGTAGTGCAACAGTGTGTTGCACTTCAAACAGCAGCCTGTAAAGTTGCTCACCAAAACAGAGATCGGTAAGAACCTAACACTTTCTTCACGATGCATTGCAATGAAGGCAAGAGTGGAGTCCATTGAACAATAGAAATGTAATCAGTTGTTTTCGAACATCTTCTAAGAGTTTTGATTCACCTTCACTTCATTGTCTCTGAACATGGGTGCCAACTAAAACAGGAGTCATAACCCCAAAGAATATGAGATCCAGTTGAGGTCACTCACAGCTTTACTTTGTTGTTGGTTTTTATCTTTCAAAAAATACACCCACATACACAGTGAATATATATATATATATATATATAGGAAATTGTTAAATTGATCCATGTATTTACTAAAATGACCCACCCATCATCATTGGTTGAAGATCCAACCATATTTTCATTACTTTTTGACCAATGTGGATTTTGTAGAGGAGAATTTTTTGATGATGGTTAGGATTGGTGGATTATTTTTGTAAATGCTTGGGTCACTTTAACAATTCTCTCTCTATATATATACATAATCATGAAAGAGTGATGCAAAATTTATAAAAATTAAAAGACATAATTATAGTTGTTAAAATAGAATGAATAAGCTTGATGAACCACGCAATGTCTTTACACAATAATTTCTTTTCTTTTCTTCTAAAAGAGAATTAAGAGTTTTATATTTTGTAATTGAATGAATTAAAAAATTTCTTTATTAAAATTTGGATAAGATCCCACATGTTTAGTTTTTCAATAATTGATTTTAGAAATTTTTATCAATTGATATGAATCGCGTATCTATATATATATATATATATATATGATAATGCTAAATAGACCTAGGTAAATTGACCCACCCATCCTAATCATTATGGGAAAAAAAAAAAAAAAAAAAAAAAAAAAAACTTCTTAATTTATTTCTCTACTACTAAATCCACAACCAATGAAAACCAACCAGATTTATCATAATTGCCATATTCTTTATCATAAATAAGTTGATTTAGTAAAAATATGAATCTATTTAATATTCCTTGAAATACATACATATATATATATATATATATATAGACATACAAAGGAATGATAAAGCGACCCAAATTTTTACTAAATTGACCCAGTTGCCCTCGTTCCCGACCTCAGCCCCGTTCCCAACCCTTTCAGTCTCCTGCCCCGACCCCATTCCCGGAGTCCTTTTCCTGTCCATGGGTCTCTCGCGGGGCACCCCAACCCGAATGGGTTGCGATTTGCAAATCTAAGCGAGTCTCAGCAAGAGTTCACTCTACATGGACATCAACAGGAAGAACAAATCACCGAAACCCCAGATGATAATCAGGCGGTGAGAAGTTAATCGAAAACCCGTGCGATTGAATAAACCTCCAAACTAGCGACAATTATCTTTCTTCTTTTAACAATCGGGGGTTTACATGATGATTGGAAAGATCCTATAGCTTTGCACTCAACCTCTGGGCGACGAGCACCAGCATACGCTTTTCTTTAACTCTCGTGTCTGTGTGTACCGAACAGATACCTGAAATGTTTAGTTTCTCTCTCAAACCATGCTAATCTATTTCATTTCTATATTTTTAGTTTTGGATCCAAATCGAGGAACCAGTGCAGGCAATCAATAATATGAACTTGTACTTCTGAACACATCTATTGATGGTGCTTCGAATACAAAGCGTTTGCAAACCCCACGGCACACCCCAACAGCGTCGTGGGCATCAGGACATTGGCAAGGACTCCAAGTGGCTCAAAAATGCAAAAAAATGCCAACTATCATGAAGAGATCGAGGTACTTGCCCCGATCAAGAGCCACAGCCTCAATGCCTACCTTGAAAAGCCAAAATTTGGGTGGAGGGAAGAAAGGGTTTTCATCTAAACCCTGACCTTTACCAGTCTCACCGAATACTTCTCCGACCAAATCCACACAACTATCGTCCACTCGAAGAATGTATACCAAGCAAACCTCAACTGTTCTGATTGATACTGAGGTTGAAATAAGATCATTGACGAAAACTTCTCAATTGCTACACGGTGGAGTAGAATGCGAGGATCCCCTAATACTCGTTTTTAAAAGCTGGAGTCGGTTTATGGATACATATTAGCTTAACAAGAATCGTCACAAGTCACCCCTGTTCTAAAACCACCGTCCGTGTAACCTAAAAGAGAACTAACCAAAAAGAAGTGCAGTGCGGGATAAGCTCCAAGCACCGAAAATTACAATCAACATTCAAGATTCAGGGTTTATGAGAATTATGGAAAAATGTGAGGAACCTGGACAAAGCGCTGCAAGGCGGGAAGAATTTAGCTAACAGGTAGCTTCTTGGCAGACTGTGGCATCTAGAATTGCTCGAAGGAAACCCGCACAGCTAATCCGAGGGAATGGGATTAATCTTTACAAACGGTCCACGCTCTCGCCAATATTTCGTCTGGATTCACGTAACAAACACAATCACGAAAAAATCGGTTGGTGCGATGCACTGATGGGCGCTGCATCCTTGTCTCAAATCCTACAAACATACCTCCAAATCACATCAAATCATGGACTTCAAACCCTAAACCGTGAGCCTTGCACAACCCACGCAAGTAATGACTAAGGCCGTTGACACACGAGCTCACAAGCTGAGATTTTGAAACATCACCGACAGGGCACGCATTGCGACCCAGGGACGAGAAGAAACCAGCCCCAGGAATGGCCCACCGTCGAATGGACTCACTAGAGCATCGACGTGCGTAAGCAAGCTGCCGATTTGAGATCAACGCTCAAGTAGCGAAGAATCCTCAATTAAGCAGCAGTTGGATTGTGCAATGGGTCGCGTTAGGCTCGGATCCAGGATGCCGAAGTTTCGAGGGAGATGTCGGTGACGCACAAGAGTGAGCTTCAATGAGCCACAATGGAGGTGATGGTTCTTCAAGGTTTACTCTTGTTATAATATATCCGCTACTCTTTTTGTTTCATGATATTTACATTGAAAAGGAAATGGTTGTTTGGTTGGAAAGGAACCGGCAACAGTGGTTACAAGCATGGGATACAAAAATACAAATAAGAAGGGCAGATTTGTTCATGTCATGGATTGCATTTTGTGATCTTGGCACTGCTGGTTGCTTGTGCATGGTTCATAAAAAGAATTACTACTAAAATCGACATCCTGAAGCTTCGACATCGCATCGTTCCAAGTTGGAAGCGCGCCAATCAAGTTGTTCGAGCTCACGCAGATGTGCTCCAGGTTCGACAATCGAGACAACTGAAGGACCTTCTTCTTGCTGATCCAGAGAATTCCATGACTCTGCATGATCTAGGACTGCCGTAAGTGATTTCTACCCATGAGCATGGAGAGGACGCCGAGGTTCCAGTCGGGGAGCATCTCCTTTTCCATTCCGACTGGGCTGCCCCGCGAGAGGCCCGTGGACGGGAGATGGGCGCTGGGAATGGGGACGGGCAGGTCGGGGCAGGAGATGGGCACTGGGAACGGGGATGGAGGCCGGGTATGAGGGGAGCTAGGTCGATTTTAAATACTTGTGTTTCTAAAACTGAATATTATCAACTTTTTCTTGAAAATTTTATTACATATGTCTTCTATGACTCTTTTGGCAAGTGTCACATTTAACATCAAATGTCAGTTGTTACTGTTTATACCATGCACAGCTTATATAAACCAGCTTAACAACTTCCAACTCTTATTTAGATACATATATATGAAAAAACTTATGTAGGCATCTACATGATAATACTTTCTGTATAAATATGAAATATAGCTACCTTTGCTTATTTATATTTTTTCTATGTTTTTCATAAAAACTTCAAATATATTATGCCTAAATATTTTAAATGAACATATTTCTAATTTCCTATTATTCTTTATAATTTTATAAAAGTTTTAGCTTTAATTTTATAAGTTTTACATTTGTAGATGAGATATTTCTTGATAGATAAAATTAAAAATGTAATAGTTTCTTGCAATAAAAACACAAAAGCACTCAAGTATTTTGATTAAGTCCATCAGGCAAATTCATCAATCCCAAACTTGCTTGTAAAAAAACACGTTGGATCAAGCTCATATCACTTAGGAGTATTACCACAAAAGTGTTTTCAGTGGGTGATTCTAAGAAACTTTTGTTTCCAATTACTGAAGCAAAAGAAAAAAGTGATGGAAAACACATAAACAAACTCTATAATAACTAAGCGAATCAATTTTCTTGCACCCCATGGACCATGCGAATTCAAGCACCCAACATAAAACACACAAACAACCAACATTCTCATTCATCATGCCAGAAGGCAAACACAAAAAACAAAGAGAAAAGGATAGAATCCATCCATCCATTCATCCATCCGTCATGAGGCGATTCCGTCCGTGGAGTATTCTTCGTTCGTCCTGGTAACGACGAAGCGGGACGAAGGGGCGACGGAGGGAGGGAGGGAGGGGGGAAACGGGATGAGGGAGAGAGAGCCATGGATTGCGATTCGCAACGAATGTGCACAAATGTGTGCCGCAATTGATGATCTTCCTTCGCAGCGAAGAAGACTGACTGCCCATTACCCTCACACCGACAAGCAGCAGCGCTGTCGAGGAGGAGGAGGAGGCGAGCACCTGCGAAGAAGAGGATTGATTGACGACCAGCACCTCCTGCATCACGACATGGCAGCGACGATGTGCTCCAGCAGGAAGCTCTCTACGCCGCCTGCATTCGCCCATGCGTTCTACACTCGCAGCGCTGCATCGGCCCAATGCGCATCGTTGGGTCACATTTCACGTCCCTGGGAACTGACCACATCCAATTCGGTGCCCGCATTGCGGTGCCTGCGCCTGCAAACGGTGCGTGGTTGCTCTGTTGCACGGGGTTTAGGTCTGTATCTGTTTTTTTAAAGTGAATTGTGGAGATGGGGATTTGAGTGGTGGTGTAGTAATTGCAGGGCGGGCGACGAGGGGTTGAAGTGCGGGCGGGCAAGGGATTTGGGGAGCTGCTTCAGAGGAAAAGGAAAGGTGGCGCGGAGGAGAAACTCAAGGAGTCTTTGGGTTGTCCCTGTGGAGGCGGGGACGAGCGTCGGGAGTATAGCGACTGCTGTGCTCGCTATCACGGCGGTGTCGTTGAACCGGACGCACTTACTCTTATGAGTATGAGCCTTACGTTGATCTCTATGAATGTCAATGTCATTGCTACGTCGCTTTCTCCAATCCATTCAAAAATGTATCGATGAATTCAGTCAAATTTTAGTTCCGCTGTCTTTTTGATCTTGTGTTGCTCTGGTTGTCGACCTCTTTCCAGAAGCGAGATTCAGTGGGTATGCGCGGAGCAAAGTGGGCTACGTTGTCAGAACCACGCACCGCGAGAATCCTGACTTCGGAGGTATTCATCTTTTTCTCATAGATTCTTATTTTGGTTCACTGAACAACTTCGAGAGTTGCCCGAATTTTTTAACTCATGAGAGGTCGGCGTAACTCACTGAGCTCAATTTGACCATTTCTTAATTTAAGTCAGTTTGGGGTAGAGGATTGTTGAGCTTGTAGTAATATTCTGACGCGGCGCAGATGAGAAGACACTTGCGGCTGACGTCCGTGCCACTTGTGAACGATTACGGTTCACCAGGCTTGAGATCCTTGAGTTCGAAGAGACTTCAGAAGATGAGGTACTCCTTAACCACTCAATCCTACATCTTAACACCCCAATCTCTCCACCCTCCTTTCTCCTCTCGTAGAGCTGAAAACCGTAAGCCTTGGATCTCATCTCACCTCACCTCAAACGGTGTTCACCTCAAGCTTCGTACTTGATTCCAGCACTAAATAGAATCCATTGCCATGTGAGCCCTCTTCATGTCTTCAGGCTTTTGTCTCCTTCCGAGTGACTTACTCGGTGGCGAAAGGAGGAAGGGCAGGAGACAAGCAGTACCTCGTCGAGAAGAGTCGGTTCGTGAATGAAGACGGTCGGTGGTTGTACCGTGACCGTATCCCCATCTCGCAAGCCTCCGAAGCGGCATGGCTTGCTTCACCAATCCCAACATGTTGAGATTGCTCGCAAGTCCTTCAGCAAGGGCAGGCCACAAGCAGGCCTGCCGCCACGCAAAGTCTGATCTTCCTTCTTCTCTTTGTACAGTTTAGGGTTACAACCATTCTCCGTAGCCATAGCTTGCTGGCTCTGGATTAGGCCAGCTTAGGAGACACCTCCCCTACGAGTGATGCTGTTGACACGGCGACAGATTTAAATGGAATTTCTCATCTTGGAACCCTCCGACCTTGTGTTCTGTTGTGTAGGTGGAAGGAGTCAGATGGATGTGATGGGCTTGGTAACATATCTGCTCAGCTACTCACTCTACTGTACTGATAGAATCGTTAATGAAAGTTCTGCGTATCAGTACAAATACATTTTATTACGAAGTTTATTCCTTATCATTCACACTTATTCCCACAAAAAAATCCTTATCAAAGCTGATAACCCAAAGGATGAAAAAGGCGACCCGAGCACATCTCCGCAGAGTATCAACCCAGGGTCTTGATCCCGGGTAGGTGGAATTTCTAGGGGTATGAGGATCCACCATTCTGTGTGCTGGTCGACTAGGATTAGTGGATGGATCACTTTTTACTGCCGTTGCCGACCTGTATCTCCTGAGCATAGCGCGTTTAAAGGCAGTTTGGTATTGCGCATCGTGTCTGCCGCTTCGTCTCTGAAGTGAGTTAGATCCTAAATGCTTCAGTATCGGAAGTTGTGAGCATGGGGAGCCTGTGTTTCCATCTCTCCAATTTTTATTTTATTTTATTTTATTTTTTATTTTTTTCTGTCTAGGGTCGAAGTCGATTTCATCGTAGGGGGCTTGTTGATTGTCTAGAAATTGTGTTGCAAACCCGTTTGATTGTAGATTAGTTGATGGCCTGGCACAAGTTGATAGATTGTTTGACATCCTTAGAGCGCAGGGTTTTGGTATGAAGCAGAAAAGAAACCTAAAGCAGAAGTGATATTATGGCACTTCTGTTGCTGGAAACTCCAACTGGAGCTCGAAAATACTACCGACTTACGAGGCTCAAATGGAGCGTAGTATGCGCATTATTTCAAGGTGGTTGATTCTAGATTTCAATACAACAATAGGTCTTTTGTGTTTTGAAACTAGATTTCTTCTCCAGACCAGCGGCAGTCACGATTGCTCTTCTCAGTTGAGGTGATTATAAAATTTCATATCATACTCTGCTGCAATTTCAACGCATTTGACTTGGCCATTGTTTACATATTAGGGATGAATCTTGAGCAATGATTCATTAGGTGTGGTTGTGATTTTATAATTGGAGTTCACATCCAGATTGCGAACATGAACTCACTGCTTAGGATTGACCAACATGCATCTTGAAAGCACAAAAAAGGACAATTAACTGGAGAGCATTTCAGCATCTATAATATTTTCAAGATCAAAGTACACAAAAACATCATTCGTGTGGCATAAAATGCACGAAAGCAATTTAACCATAACAAACGGGGCATCAAAAATTACCAATCTGTCGCCCTTGTTGAAAAGATTGCTTGTAAGCTCGGCTGGCTTTGTGGTTTTCTTGGGGCCAAATATTTGCATAGCGAAGTACCAGAAGATGCCCATGCGAACAATACCAGATAATCCTCCAGCCCAGCCCTGCTGTGCAGAGGGTTGTGGGTCAGGCTCGCTACCTGGGTGGCTGGTGCCTGAGGAGGCGCCATAGCTGACAACACACGCACTTACTGCACTCAGCGGAAAATAAACTAGTGCCGTCCGTGCTGCTGCAATGCAGATACAATTCCAATCGGAGTCAAAGAGAGTCAGCTACCAAACCGCTAAGCACAATATTAATCAAAACTCATAATCTAAGAATGAAAAACAATCAAAGCATCCAATGAAACCAGGATGGAACATTATACTAGGTTCATACGAAGGCTTCATGTACAATAATATCGACAATAGTGAAACGATACAAGTAGAATGAGTCAATGTCTAGAGTCCATGTTGATCACCCACTTCTCAAATGTGGCCTCATTTACAGGTATATCTTTCACCCGAAACTACCGCATGCGTTTGATTGGAGCAGCAAGAACTGATGCATTAACTAGATTCGCAGTTATATTGAGCTGGTATGCAATCTGTAAGAAAGCTGCTGTAACCTCACTCAACGAGCAACTACAATATTCAAAGAAGAGCATTCATTACAAGGAGTGCCGATTGGAAAGTGCATTGGAGGTGCTTTGCAACTAACTCAGGAGTGTAACCATAAAGTGGCTACAAAAGTCTCTATTTCGAGTTAAAGATAATCATCGGTATCCATACGAAGTTACGAGCTTATTAAATGTCACTGATCAGAGTCAGGCAAGTCAAACTCAAAAACTACCCTGTCAGTGCTGCAAAATTGCGAAAAATCGCTAAAACCCCAACCCTAAAAGTAGTTATTAGTTTCAAGTGACATCTTTACTCAGAATGCTACATCTACAGGATTCAGTACTGAAGGCTTCACGAATTAGTCGTAGTGAATGTGTTCCCTTATTAAATATTCTTTGGAGTGCCAGACAGTGGTCATGCGATGAGAATGATACGATTCGCACTCTTTGTGTGATGAAATGTGCTTCGAATTTCACATTTCCGCAGAGGCATTCAGTAGATTAATTTTATGGCGATATACCTTTTTCTTTCTTAGAAGATGGAACAAGATGGAGCAAGCTTTCTTTTTTTCTTTTTTTTCAACCTTTTGCTTGGTTTCGTTTATTCATGTAGTAGATGGTGACTTTCTCCGTTTATGTTGTCGTTTTAAAAGTATCTAACTGCTTCTGAGAACTGCAGCAGTTGAGGCACACAAAATGTGAGAGAAATTCGACTGCATTCTAGGGTTTGGAAGGTCTGTGAGAGAAGCTGTAGTAAGTATGTAGTTGTGTTATAATTTTCCAGAGTTTTTAATTTTGAGGAATAATGGTTTTAGACAACGACCGCTGGATTTGTGCTGAAGTACCGTTCGTGCATCATATTCATGTTTTAAATTTCATTTTACATATAGCTCGAAGCTTTCAGTACTGAATCTCACGAGCTCCGAATGCACAAATCAAGTCGAAATCAATCGCAGCGACCAGGAGAAAAAAGCAGAGCAGCAAACCTCGGAAGCATGATCACATCAAAGGCAGTATCGATGAAAAAATGGTGAAAGAAGGATCGCATACCAGAATAGAGCAACCAACCAGGAGCAACAGAACATCATCCGCACTCTCCGCCACTCGAGCTCTCGTTGCGTTGCGTTGCAGCACCGAGAGAGAGACGCTGGAATGAATGATCAGAGCAGCAAAGCAAGCACAGTGAGCAAGCAGGCTCTGGCAAGTCGTCGTAGAAACACAGGGCGACGACGACGAAGATCGACGATCGACGAGAATCGTGCGACGGCGTTGCCGGCTCTCCAACGGAGTTCACTCCACGTTGGTCTTACTCGTTCGTTCGTTTGTTCGTTCGTTCCTCCGTCCGTCGTTTCACTGCAGTCAGGGAGCCCTTGCCATAATGACGAATGAGGACATTCATTCATTGTGATTTTTGGTTGTGTGGTTGATCAATTTGAAAAGACTCATAACACAACTGTTTATAAAATTGATTTGATGGTTGTAATATTTTGGTCCGCAGGCATGATTTTTGATGGATTATTATTTATTTATTTATTTATTTTTTTAATTATTGTATTGAAAAATATTTTAAAATTTTGATGGATGTATTTTGGAACTTCACAATTTTATCAAAAGTAAATGAAGAAACGTTCTTGTTTCAAATAATAATAATAATAAAATTAATTATTCAAATTTACAAAATATGTATGATGTTTTGAAAATATTTTTTATTATTTTTATATATTTTTAATTTTATTTCTAATTGATTATAAAATTAAAAAATAATAATTTATCACAATAAAAAATAGATTAATATTAGTAATAACAAAGCCACTCTAAGTCTTATCAACTATTCATATTTTTTCTAATTTTAGACTTAAATATTTTCTTGTAACTTATGATATCTATTTGGCTCTTTATATTTTATTACCACTTACACACACACCCCCGCATGCATGTATATCCCTTCAGTGCACTGAAATGTACGTAGTTTCGTAACCTAATTTTGTGAAGTCAGTCAGCTCACACTAACTTAGTCCGATGGAATGGGTTTTCGGAAGGTTTGTTAAATGCGCAAAACTTAATGCATGCACAAGATAGATTCATCGCCTTCGTCCTTGACCTGCACAAATCAACTCCCAAAACTCAAGCGCAAGAGCGATGTGCAACCCCCCCTCCACACCAATCCTCCCGACGATTTTCCATGTTGAGTCGACATCTGCCCGCAATGTCTCACCTGCGATGGTGAAAGCCGTTGGGTGTTGGAATTTTGTAGCAGGCAAAAACTAGTCCTACAGCACTGCAATCGAAACTCTAGCAGAAGCTTCTCTTCATGGCGGTGTCAGCGTTGATGCTGCCGCAGCAACAAGTAGACCCAGGAACTCGCTGGAATAGCAGAGCCATGGTCGTTGAAATCCCGATTTGAGGAGTTCCCTGCCGCCTCCCTTCCATTTAGAATCGTATCGGCTTCGCCGGCAAAATCTCGAGTGCCATCGGCGAAATCACCTTTACGGGTTGCGAAATCTCCAACTCTACCTACATTGAAGGAGCTTCTGTACGAACCAACTCCAGAACTCAAACAGCCTTTGGCTGCCCCATCCAAATCTCCTCGACAAAGTTTACGGTCCTTGTGGAGCGCCCGGGAAGATCGGCCCCCGACGTCTTTCCTCTCCAACTCGAAGAATGTGCCCACCTTGCAGAGAAGTCTTCAGCAGTCAGCCGTGGAGACGACGTCGACATTTTTCCCATCAACTGCAACTTTTGCGCCTCCTATTGCACATACCTCTCTACCTTTGTCTCCTAGCACTGTCGCGGGTCAACCGCATTACATCACGCCCATCACGTCAGCACGTGGGCAGGATGGAGCGACTCGGAAATCAACGAGTCCGGCTAGGTTGCTTGTTTCCACCAAGCGCCTCGCCTTCTGGAACTCCTGTAACATCACTGATGCGGATTCATTCAACAATCGGTCAGCAAATGCTACTCCCGAATTCGAGCAACTCACCGACTCCTCACCTCCCGATTACTCCCCTATTCATGACGAAGACTTCGCCGATTATGTAAAGATGACCAAGCTTCGACGAAGTCGAGAAATGAATCGAAATTCGCTAGAATTGCAGCCATGCCAGTTGCGCTTGGAAAAGGGTTAACAACGCCCATGTTAGTACTTAACTTGTGCTTATATCTGGTGGCCGCCATTTAAGCAGTCTGGGCATTGAACAGCAAGTTCGACGTGGCTATGGACTGCAATCTTTGCCGCTCTTCCCCTCTCAGTCGAGGATCCGGAAGGTTCATCGTTCACTTCAAGCTTCTCCAGAGATTTGGCTGCAATCCAAGCCCGACTCCGACAGATCTCGACACCGATCGTCACTATCAGATGTCGACTCAACATGAAAAAATGTCGAGAGGATTGGTGTGGAGGGGATGCACATCGCTCTTCCGCTGGAGTTGTGGGAGTTGATTTGTGTAGGTCAATGACGAACGTGATGAATCTATCTTCTGCATGTTCAGTGCGAGTTTTGATGTTTGTTTGGATGCACATCCTCAATGCGCATCCAACAAACCTCTCGAAAATCTATCGGATTAGTGTGAGCTGACTGACCTCACAAAACACCTTACGAAACCTACACTTAAGTGCACTGATGGGACATATTTGCGCGGGTGAATGGCCCGGGTGCTCATCCTGTAAAACCTAGCGGTTCTGTTATTTTACTGTTATATAACATTCTCAAGTTAGGTTTTTCCAATCTCCTCAGTAGCCTTCTATTTTCACTTTTTAACATGTTAATCTCATCGTAATAGAGTCAATAGTTTTTTTTCTTTTCAAACCTTAAGTTATTTTTATTGTTACATAGCATGTGCTAATGTAACATTCTCGGATCATGTTTTCAAATCTCCTCAACAGTATTCTATTCTCACAAATTATCATTAGTTTTTAAGGCTGGTATGATGAAACATAAAATGACTACTAAAAATAAATATAAACAACGGAATGAAATGCAAAGAAATAAATCCCATCACAATCAATATAAAATTTGCACATTCACCTTACAGCAACAAAGCAAAGCACTTCATAACAATCTGTTGATGCATACCAGACCATGGAACCCATGATCCACATGAGAAGAAATGATCATTCTTCGCATTAAATATCAAAAAAAGCAAACTACCCATGTCTTGATATTCATATCCAATAATTCATCCAAAGCGCAGATCTTTTAAAACCCTACACGACGAGAAAGTTTGTCAGGGGAACGGCACCCACCACCAAGGAAGGAAGCAACCAAGCAAAGAGCACGGACGCCTTCAATCCACACACCGAGAATCCAAAACTCTGCAACAACAACAACAACAAAATCAGGGCGGAAGTAGAAGCCAAACGCGCATACACACACACAAACAAGAATGAAGCGGGCATGGGTGCACCTGGTGCAGATGAAGGATGAGAACTATGGATCATAAAAAACTCGATGTTCACAGAAGGTGTTCACAGAAGGTTATCCATTCGTTGGCCAGAGGACGGGCATCCGTGAAACGCGTGGTGCCGGAAAAGTAGGCTCGGAACGCGAAAGCGCGAGCGCCGACAGGAAATGGAAGGGTTTAGTCTCGTCGTCGAAGGGGGGGGGGTTTTTTGGTGGGGTGGTAACTAATTCGCCGATACGAGAGAGGGAGGGAGGAAAACGCTAGGGGAGGAGGAGAGAGGAGAGGTCAGAGTGCAGTGGACCTACCTAGCCTTATCCCCCCACACCCCACCTAGATAACTCTGTCCCTTTGCTTCACATACCAGCCAGGGTTTACTTGTAGAACCCTCTTTGCACTGCTTGTTGCAACCCATTCGTTACATTTGTCTCCTCCTGCTTCTGGGACCTGTGAGATCCCATTCTGTTTGTGGATTGAGGAGCTGAGGACTGTGCGCAATGGCTGCCACGAACATGCTCATGGCTGGCTCCGCTGCCACTGCCTCTCTCCGCATTGAGAGTCCCGCCGCTTCCTCCTTGAGTTCCTCCGCTGCCGTTGGGCGTGTGGGATTTGTTCTCCCCGCCAGGCAGCAAAGGCGGGTGGCTCAGCGGATGACCGTGAAGGCCGCTAAGCAGCTTCACTTCAACAAAGATGGGTCTGCTATTAAGAAAATGCAGGTGGGTGGGGTTTCGTCTTTGGGTTTTTTGGGTGCGTGGTCCCCGGGGCCGGCAGTTTGTCTGATGAGGTTTTTTGGATGTGGTTGTCGTTTGTGGGGTTTGGGTATGGTGTGTGCTATGTGTCCATTTTGTTCTGACGATAGTTGATTGTTTCGATGTAATGGGCAGGCTGGAGTTGATAAACTTGCTGATCTTGTTGGTGTCACTTTGGGGCCCAAGGGCCGAAACGTCGTGCTTGAGAGCAAGTATGGCTCACCCAAAATTGTGAATGACGGTGTCACTGTGGCCAAGGAGGTTAGGGCTTGCATCCTCTCTATGAGCCCGGATTTATTATGTTGTTTACTTGGTTTTTTTGGATAAGCGCGATTTTTTTTTTGAGGGGGGCGGGGTGTAGAATCTTGGGATAAGGTTTCGTTCTTTCTTGAATTAGATGCGCATGAGTTTGAGCTTTTCAATTAACGCGCTGAATCTCGGAACTCAACAGGTTGAGCTTGAGGATCCAGTCGAGAACATCGGTGCCAAGTTGGTGAGGCAAGCGGCAGCCAAGACGAATGACTTGGCTGGTGACGGTACCACCACCTCTGTCGTTCTCGCACAAGGGCTCATTGCTGAGGGCGTCAAGGTAGGTTCACTTTTCTCATCATCAAATTCTCTATATTTCATTCAGGAGACTGTGATTCACTATGGCTCTCTCGTGCCTGTGAAGCTACTAAGGTTTTTGCATAATTCTGTAGGTTGTTGCAGCGGGAGCCAATCCAGTACAGATCACAAGAGGCATTGAAAAAACTGTGGCTGCCCTGGTCAAGGAGTTGAAAAAGCTTTCCAAGGAAGTAAGTCATGCTGCCGTACTCTCTAGAAACCACTACTGTGAGAACAATGCAATTTAACTTGACTGTCCCACATGCCGCTTTTCTTTAACTTTTTAATCTGAGGATGACAGGTTGAAGACAGTGAACTGGCTGATGTCGCTGCTGTCAGTGCCGGTAATAACCCCGAGGTCGGTCAGATGATCGCCGAAGCCATGAGCAAAGTCGGGCGCAGGGGTGTTGTGACCTTGGAGGAAGGAAAGAGTTCTGAGAACAGCCTGTACGTGGTCGAGGGCATGCAGTTTGACAGAGGCTACATTTCCCCCTATTTTGTGACTGACCCAGAGAAGATGTCTGTGGAGTATGATAACTGCAGGGTATGCTCCTATTATTTTTAAGAATGCCTTTGGATGTTTATCTGCTTGTGACATCGCTTGAAAGCGGAATCTGCGTGCAATTACAAACTGCTGACCGACAGGATCCCACCGAAAATGTGAAAAAACGAAAGGATGAGAGGAGAAGGGAGGTTGACCTAGAGTAGATTCTCCCTCCTCTCTTTCTTCCTTAACATTTTCTCTCTAGTAAAATCTTGGGTCACTATAGCTGGAAAATACTAACGCTTCTTGAATTCTTTCAAGACATTTCATGCTTTCAAACGCTTGCATGATCCCATGATGGCTACGTTTCACTGAGTCAGTCTCATGGTGGGCGCGTGCAGCTTCTCCTGGTGGATAAGAAGATCGTAACTGCCCGTGACATGATTGGAATTCTGGAGGAATCCATCCGTGGTGGATTCCCACTTTTGATTATTGCTGAGGATATTGAGCAGGAAGCTCTCTCTACATTGGTGGTCAACAAGTTGAGAGGTTCACTTAAGGTCGCTGCTTTGAAGGCACCTGGTTTTGGTGAGAGAAAGAGTCAGTACTTGGACGACATTGCTATTCTTACCAACGCCACCGTGATTCGTGACGAGACTGGTCTCGCTCTTGACAAGGTTGGCACTGAAGTGTTGGGTACTGCGGCTAAGGTCGTTCTCACCAAGGATGCAACCACCATTGTGGGTGATGGTAGCACACAAGATGCAGTTAGCAGGCGTGTGAACCAAATCCGCAACCTAATCGAAGTCGCCGAGCAAGAGTATGAGAAGGAGAAGCTGAATGAGAGGATTGCGAAGCTGTCTGGGGGAGTAGCCATTATTCAGGTATTTTCTTATTTACATTAACTCTTTGGCTCGTCGGGTTAACGAATCTCTTTTGATATGTTATACACGAACTATATATTCACCTTGTCGATTCTATTTTAAGCATACCTAAATGTGATTAGGCTCTTCTTTCGTTGACCGTGGTAAAATGATGTGGAAGATAAATCTTCGGTAAGTCGTAACTGTTATTTGCAGGTTGGAGCTCAAACTGAGACCGAGTTGAAAGAGAAGAAACTTCGTGTTGAAGATGCGCTGAATGCAACCAAGGCTGCTGTGGAGGAAGGCATTGTTGTTGGTGGAGGATGTACCTTGTTGAGATTAGCTAGCAAAGTTAGTGCTATTGTTTCAACCTTGGATAACGACGAGCAGAGGGTAAGTGATATTTTATGCTATTCCTACAATCAAGTTACAATCAAGGTTTGACATGAAGCCGATACAACTTAACTTGTTATGTTCAGATCTGAATTGTCTGGGTGCCTACTTCTGCAGGTTGGCGCTGAGATTGTGAGGCGGGCCTTGTGTTACCCTTTGAAATTGATCGCCAAGAATGCTGGTGTGAACGGAAGCGTGGTGGTTGAGAAGGTTGGTGCCTTAGTGCACTGTTTTAGTTTTGACTGCAAACATGCACGTGGTGATAGGATTTGTATATCTAACCATTTAGGATGTGGCAACGGGAAGTCTGGTCGTTTAATCAGTTGAGGTTACGTGCTCATCAGGTGTTGGCGAATAGCAACCCATCCTTCGGCTACAATGCCGCTACAGGTGTCTACGAGGACCTCATGGCTGCTGGTATCATCGACCCTACCAAGGTACTTGGATTCACTGCGGTGGTTTTAACTTCGAGAGAATCTTGCACTTTCACCTTTAATGGCTGTAAGTGATTTGTAAATCTCGTGGTGTGGTGGCGCAGTATTAAGAGTCTTGGATACCATGTTTTGCAGGTTGTCAGGTGTTGCTTGGAGCATGCCGCTTCCGTAGCGAAGATCTTCTTAACTTCTGATGTTGTTGTTACCGAAATCAAGGAAGCTGAGGTTGCTGTCGCCGGCAACCCAATGGATGCATCAGGTATTTAAAGGAAACAGTTTTTTGAGTGCCTGTGTGATTTCTATTGGGTCCTGTCTGCATTTTATTGAAGCCTCATGACACATATCTTTCTAATATTTATTCGTGGCTGCAGGATACGGTTATTGAGGAAAAACAAATTTAGGAGATCTTGCGAGCACTTAGTAGTTGGGATGAGTTTTAATAAGATCGGGAATATTTGGAGTGGTGAGCCATACGTAAGAGGTTATTGTAATATCTCCCAGTTTAACCTCACACTGCGAAGAGCATCTACTCAGTATAATCAAACTTAGGTGAGAGCTTTATATCCTGTAGATCTTCATTCAGATACGTCACACAATTGCTAGGATTTTCACAGCTCCTCAACAAGGTAAAGGTTTTTACATGTAGGAAAATTTCCAGCATTATTTCGTCATTCCTCCACTTGACATGTAATGTAATGAAGGACTTGAAGTTCCATGAATGGTTCGTCCGTTTGCAAGCGCCTCTGGTTGGCAGAAGGTGGTGTGCTGCTTTGCATGAGATTTCTATTTCTGTTAAGGCTAAACCCTCTTAAGAGCACTGATTACTCCGAGGAATGCGTACTTCCTGTTTGATTATGTTTCGAGAAGCCCAATGTTTGAACGGACTAGAGTTCTATAACCATATTAGTTTTCCTCAGAATATTTTCATTTTTTCGTAGTTTTTAAGAATATCAATAAGAATTACATCTTTTCATTGTGAACAGACTAATCTATGCGTGCAAATCCATTCAACTAAACTGTCTATTGTAATCCCGACTAATCTGGATACTTAAAACTTTTGAAGTAATACCTTTCGCATATCCATTACTTTTGGATCGAACACACAAAGTGGCAATCTTTGAAACCTTGTTCACGCTCATTTGTAATAGTTCAAAATGCGGAGCTACAATCATACTTTAATAGTCTAATAATTTCCATTGTATCTGTAATTCATTAAAGCAAATTTTATTATACCTTCAAGTCGAATTCTTATCAATAAGGATGTCGCATTGAACCATAAAGTAGCTGAAACAATACATCACTTACTAAAAAATACCAATCATTATTGACCAGTGTTACGTCAGCAAGTAAAACTTAGTTTGAAGCAGAAGCGGTTGACTTTATTCTATTTGAACAATATTTGTTTAAAAGCAAAATTCAACTACTTTTACAAACAAGTTTTTTTTTGGTGGGTACCCATGTGTCATGCACCCTCACATACACAACAATATTATTTCTACTTGAATATTTTTTAATGAATTTCCAATCATTCAACAACTAGGTATGAGAGTCACCTCACTTGACAGAAGCACAATACTACACCTATTGAGTCTTGTCATCTATTGTGACATGTTTCAGATTCAAAAAATCACGTCGCATTATGCCAAGCGGCTCGCAACCTTCTCTAGATCCGGACACTACTTAGATGCTTACAGATTTTCGGTTGTTGGCATGTTGATCTACGCGTGATCCCGAGAACAATTGATCCACTCCACTCAATATATTGGGATATTGATTACTTGAATGCATCAACATTTGGCATGCATGATGTCCTCATTAGTATACGGGAGGAGCCCAAGCACATTCATCTTGCCGCGTGGTAGCGAATTAGAAAGGGCTGCTCACAGCGTGGAAGTGCTCTATTTTCTTGAACGTTAATGCAACTCGACGTGGAAATTCTGACATCAATGTGGGGCACACAATCCATTCTCAAGGAGAACGCCACCCTATGGTTGCAATACTCATGACTAACAAACTTGACAAGCTACCCATTTCAAGAGCGCTACACAAAGACGCGCATCATCCAGAATTCTCTACCATTGAGGGATTCTCTACAACGCTCGAAGCCTCTGCTTTGATCTCCTTTGGTGAGGCCATGGAAGAAGAGATCGACACAGACCAAGGAGATACCTTGCAGTATGCTCACTCAGCAAGCACCCTATTCACGATATCACCGAAACAACAAGCGCTTCTCTTCCAACAAGGTATCACATCCACACCAATGCTCGTAAGTGGCAGCACACCCCCCGCCTTCCTCTCCACCTCAATATCAAAGACTACGACCACATCCATCTCAGTTCTGTGTAGTCTTCCTTGACCTCCTTCGCCCTCAACGGACGGTTCGCGCCCTCGACATAAAACTACAATTCCTACAACCTCACTAAATCCAGAAAACATGGCTTGCTTACCGGCTCTTTTTTTTTTTTTTAGTAGTCACACTCGATCAAGACTTCTTGGCATTTTTACGCAACTTTAGCACCATGGCAGATGCCTACACATCGCCAGATGCATATCAAATATCACGATTCCGCACCTATCTACGAACAGTCACCAAAGATTTGTTCAAATCACACCTTAACGTGATCACCCTCAGCAACTGGGCATTAGTCCAAAACCTGGGCAAAAAATTGTTCATATTGACTAACCAGCGTAATGCTGCATGGAACTTCCTTGGCAGCACAAAATACAAATAAAGAGAAAACCTTGATCTACACTTCTCGTGGTTCATCACACAATCCAAGCTTGCCACCAAGGACAAAAGAGAATTTATGCGGCACATTTCATATGTTCCCTCCTACTGGACCTCATGCGTAAAGTGGAGGTGAATCAATTTACCGATGACGACGCGATGCTCAATCATCTTAAGATGTGCATATCATTCTCCCGTAGTAACGAATTGGAAAAATCAGCTCCAAGACACAAAGCGGCACCAGCTGCCTCTCTTGAAACATCCACCGAAGCCCTCTCCAACCTCAAGTTAGAAGAGCATGATATTGACTCAGCACTAGCGGGCATCACCGACAAATTGCAAGCACTCCAAGCTACTGCAAACTAACAACGACGAAATGAAAACAATTCAGTTGAGAGCGTCAAAAGAACCCCCTTTACTTTGCAACATTTGCAACTAGATGAGGCACAATGCCATGACATGTCTTCTATGTCCCTCCATGCTTAACATGCTCCTAGAGTTTTGCCGGCTACTAGCTGAGCAAACTACATCCAAGCCTTTAAACTAGGCTGCACATTTGTATTGTACCGTGGCTCAGACGTGGACAACGCTCAAAGACCACAGAACAACGCCCTAATCTATACCACATTTTTTGGTCTCAACTGCATGGCACTTTTCCTAAAACTCAACATTGTGAGACCTCGGGTGGTTTTGGAATAAGTTAATCTCATCAACAGACAATGTATGGTGGACATGGGCTGCAATCTTACTTTTATAATGGTTGTACTTCTTAGTTTGTACTTGTAAAGTTGTACTTCTAAATTAAAAAAGTTGTACCTCTATACTTCTATAAAAAGTTGATCTAATGGTTTGTTCAAAGTTGATTGAAGCTCAAACATATTGAGGTCTCTAAAATTGGAGTTTAGAAGATTAGTGAGGGTTTCTAAGATATCTGTCAATCTGCTAATTGCATTTCAAATACAATTTTTTATACATATAGTAAGCTTAAATTCCAACAATTATGAAAAGTTTGAGATCTATTGAATGGTGAAATTAAGAGATATTGACTCTAGAATATGAACATCAAGATCAATAATTAAGCAAATTTTAGGAATTATCTTCTGTTTGGTATGTTTGATCATCTTCAATTTTTTTGTGCTTGTTTCTAACTTAGTTACTGAAAAATGTGCAAATATTTAGTCAAAATCAACAGCCAAATTATTAGTTACTGAGATTTCAATTTGTTGTAGGATTTGTTAAAATTTTGTTAAAGATTTAGGATTTGATTAGAGATTGATTAAGATTGGTTTAAGATTTCATTACGATTTTATTAGGATTTAATTAAGATTTTATCTAAGATTTATTATGATTTTATTAAAGTTTGATTTAGGATTTGATTAGGATTTATTTAGAGTTTCTATTTTTAGTATTTTAAAATGTTATTTATAATTTCTTTAAAATTTTCTATTTTAAGTATTTATTTAAAATTATTATTATTTCTTTAAAGTTTTATTTTAATATTTTTTTTTAACATTTCTTCATTATTTTTCTCTGGAATTAGTTATGACTTGTTTGTGTTTCTTTTGTAACTTCTTTTAAATTTCTTTTGAATTGGTTAAAATTTGATTAGAATTGTTAAAGATTATTTAAGATTTATTTAAGATTCTATTAGACTTGATAGGATTTTGTTGTTGTATTTCTACTTACCTTCCACAACTAAGTGTTTGATGTATTTTCAAAGAAGAATATATATAATATGATAATGGTATCTTGTACCAATACCTTTGTGTTGCCTCTGTCTACATCATTGTTATATGTCACAAGACCACCATCAAAGCCATTATTAGCATATGAGATGAAGTTCTCTTAGGATTGGACTAGCTCACTAAGAAGTCCTATATTTTTGAAATTGCACAGCAAAAATTCATCATTAATACCAAAGAAGTGACATAAAAAAATCATAAATCCCTCAACATATCTATTATACTTCTAATATATACAAAGGCCTACTACAATTGATCCACATTTTTACAATTTAGTCCCATAGACTAACAATATTGTATTTTGTGAGGTTTGTTTAAAAATGCACTAGGTACTTGACTGTAGAAGGTAAAATAGAACTTGCAATGAGAAGATCTTAATAACTCTAATAGAATCCTAAATATTTTTTAATTAAATTATAATAATGCTAATCAATCTTTAATTAAATTCTAAAAGGATCTTTAAAAACTTAAAAAAAATACATAAATAATTCATAAATTAATTTTAAAGAAATACATGTATTAAAAAAATTCTAAAAAAATATCAAAGAAATCTTGAACAAATCTTAAAAATAAAAAATCCTAATCAAATCCTAGGCCAAATCTAATGAAATTCTAATGAAATCCTAATCAAATTCAAAATCTTTATCAAATCCTAATTAAATCCTAATAAAATTCTAATATATCCTAATCATGAATTAAATAAATTCTAAACCATATTTCAAATTGAAATGTCAATAATTGATGATTAACTATTAATTTTGACTTAAATTTTTAATACTTCTTAATAACTAAGTTGACTACAAATACAAATTTTTTGAAGAAGATCAAATACATCACATAGAAGATAACTACTAAAATCTACTAGGGTATTGACCAACTTCCTTTTCCAACCTTGATATCAATATTCTAGAGCCAAAATCTCTTAATTTCACCATTCAATAGGTCTCAAATAATGCAAAATTGTTAAAAGTCAAATTTACTATTTGTATGGAAAATTTTAATTCAATCTAATTAGTAGATTGATAGATATCATAGAAACTCTCACTCGTCCTCTAAACTCCAATTCTTAAGAACTTAGTATGTTTGAACTTCAATAAACTTTGAATATATTTTTAAATTAAGTTCAAATTTATAACACAAGTTACATACAATATTGATCATTTAATTACAAAATTTTACATGTAATTTAGCTATAAATCTTATAAAATTATCTAAAGTATAAACTCTTTGAATTTCTTAAGATCCAAAGTCAATTGAATTTAATCCT